CTACATGAGATGCAGCAGCAATGTGCAGCTTTGGAAATGGCCTCATGGTGGCCCCAGATGCCTAGCGGGCCACCCGATTCAGGAATGGAAGACCTTCAGAGGTTTCAGGGAGCGCCCTCAGGGCACAGCCAAGTGTTCCAAGAAGCGGCCAATATGCAGGAAACAAGGGCACAGGCAATGAGACCCATCTACCATCCTTTCAACCATGTTTGCAGAGGGCTGGGAGGGACGCATCCGCCCATCAACTGTGTCCTTTGGGATGTCAAGTATTTTAGTGTTGCTCACCCCAGCCCTGGTGGCATAGTGGTTACTCGCTGGGCTGCTAACTGCAAGGTCAGCAGTTCAAAACCACAAGCCACTTCTCACGAGAAAAGTCAGGACTTTCTAATCCCATAAGCATTACAATTCCAGAAACTCAATGGGGCAGTTCTACCCTGTCCCACGTGAGTCGGCATTGACTCAAGGACAGTGAGTTTTGGAGGGGGAGAGAGAGAGAGAGAGAGAGAGAGTTCTCCCTAGCTATTATACGACTTTAGTGACCAGAGGAGTTGGGAACGGACTTCAAAATCCTAGTTGAGCAGAATGAAGAATTCTAATGGAGTCTCAGCGCAGAGCAACGCAGCCAGCCGAGTGGCTCTCTGTTTTCCCTACAGTAACGTACGTGGAGAAATCAAGTCGGCAGGAAATGAAGCAATCTCTCTATTCCTTTCACATGACTGGCAAGCAAAGAGAACATGTTGCCCGTGGCACCCTGCTTTTTAGAAATCAGACAGGGCACAAGCCGCAGCCATTTATAGGATGTGGTCTAATAAACGGAAGCCCAGTTTCATATCCTCCCACCAGCGCGGCGCACTCCCGCCTCGGGGAGTGGCTTTGCAAGGTTAGCACAAGTTTCCTTTCCCCCAATGTAAAGGTTGAGAGGTTAATGAGCACGTGGCAGCTGCCGCCTGCCCCCGCCCGAGGACCGCACATCCATCCACACGCGCTCGAAACCAAGAAAGAGCTGCGCACGGACGCCGGCGCTTCAAGGCGCTCAACACCGGCAATAGGGTCGGTCAACCGAAAAATCTGCAAGCACGGGAGCCTCATCTTGCTAGTTGCCAGCCACCACCGAAGAAGATGAAGAAGCCCTGAGGAGGAAGAAGAGAAGGCGGTAGACAAGGAACTTCGACACCATCCAAGAAAAAAAGTCTGCTTGAAAGTATTTCCATGAAAACTGTGTCGATTAGGCAATTGCAGGAAGCAGGGGGAGGGAGAGGAGAATGAAAGGGGGGGGGGGGTCACACACACCTTTCTTCTTATCTGAACACTTTTATGCCCTGGGTCCCACCCTGTCATTGTCACTGCAGAGCAGGTTAATAGCCGCAATGTAAGGACTTTGTGTGGTTAGCCTTTAAATGGACCTGAATAGCTAACTAGAGTGAGGTGACTCAGCCCTGCTGCCCTGGTGGGTGTTGACTTTCTTAGTCATATTTACCCAACTGGTCTCCCAGCCCACAGGCCAGAGGAGAGGCCTAACAAGCGCGGAGCTCAAGCTGAACTGTCAGGGGAGCGAGAAGGAGGGGGCGGCGGGATGCTCAGTGGGGCAGGAGCAGACATAGTATCCCGGATCTGATCCCTGTAAAGCAAAAGTGGGCCTTGTTCTTGTCAGGTGCTGCTCAGTTCGTTCTGACTCAGCGACCTGGTGTACAAGGGAACGGAGCACTGCGGGTCCTGCGCCATCCTCACGCGCATTCTTAAGTTTGAGCGTGCCGATGATGCACACCAGCTCTGTGAGCAGCTTCCTCCCAGCTCTGGAAGGGTCGGTCGCGGTGGCTCAGTGAGATCAAACATGGCTCCTTTAACAAGTGGAAGGTGACTGGGTGGAAGGTTCCGGGGACCATGGGCTACTCCCATGGTGCCCGGCTACGAGACTGTCGGCAAATTGCTTCATCCCGGGGCCTCAGTTACCTTACCTGTAAAATGGCGGTAGTCACCGCACCTCCTTCTAAGAAAGGTGGTGATGTCTTACGGAGTTTATGGAGGCAAACAGCTCCTCGCTGGGCCTGTGCTACAGCCAGCACTGTGTTCAGGGCCGTTCTGGAATCAGTGTTTCCAGAGAGCCTGGGGAGTATACCCAGTGAAGGGGTTGCCCATGCCCATGCCACAGATAAAGCCAGGCATCGAGGTGAGGCGGCACCTTGCTCAGCAGGGAGTCCTCCTGGACGCACCGTCACGTGGCTTCCACAGGGCTCTGGCCCCACCCATGCCCCCCAAAGTCTAAGGATCATGAGGGTTACTGATCTAACACCCAGGGAAACCTAGCAGGAAGAGTAACTGGACTGGCCCATCCCCGACCTGCTCTCAATCTGGGTCTAGCACCCAGAGTCCTGTGGGTGCCCGTGTATCTGCTTTCCCTTCCCTGATAGAGAAACTGAGGCACCAAGCGGTTGAGTCATTCGCCCCAAATTCAGAGCCCTCCAGTGGTGCCTCTGTGTCTAGCCGACTCACAGTTAAGATTGACACCCAATCATGGAAATGTGGCGCCTGGGCCCCTCCCCAGGAAACGTGGCCTCTGGGCCCCTCCCATTGTCCCCAGTCTGCGGACAAGGCTGAGCAATGAAGGCAGTCCCGGCACCGAGAAGCAGATTGGCGCCGGGAGAATCTAGGGTTATAAGGACGAAATCATCTGTTTCAGTTTCTTCCTGCCCCAAGCAGGTGCCAGGTCTCCGCTATCTAGCGTCTACCTCTGACCCAAGATGAATGAGCCATGACAACTTCCCTGGCCCCGGAGGAGGAAGAGCTAAGTTCACCATGATGTTCTGGGGATAGAAGCCCCAGCCAACGCTTATTACAGGCCAGCCAGGAAGGACTGAGGCAAAGGGGGCCCAGCTCCTGCAGAGAAGTCGGGGCCTCGTTGCTCTCTGATGGAGGCCAGAGGTAGGACCTTCCAGGCCCATGTAACACAGGTGTGAGCAGAGCCTGAAGCCAGAAGAGAACAGAGAAGTTCAAAGGACCCCTAACCACTCTTAGCTTTACTCATGTCTAAATGGTCAGAAGATTTCTACAAGACTTGTATGCTTGAAATTTAGGCCAAAAACAGACGGCCTGGAAATTGTATCAGGTGGAGAGATCATATGTAGGCCCCCAAGTCCAATGTTGTTAAGCGTTTTTTAAAGACCATGCACATGAATAACTGAAAACACATCCCAATGAACAGAGATTTCTCATCAATGAGGAAAAGCATGATGTCTACACACATTTCTATGTACATGTCTACATGTTCAAGTTCTCTTGAACAGCCATTTAATACTCTGTCAATGAAAGCAAACGTTTAAAAATGATTTAGTCCACCTCTTCTCTCTCGAAAGACGTTCCAACGATATAGGAGGTTACCCGTTAGACTGCGAACCACAAGGTCTGCAGTTTGAAACTACCCGACGATCCTTGGGAGAAAGAGGAGGCTTTCTATTCCTGTAAAGATCTACAGCCCCCAAAACTCTGAGAGGCAGTTCTGCTGTATATATCATAGGTCACTATGACAACAGTGAGTTTGGGTTTGGAACTTCCTCTCTCTCCGGTGTGCCTATCCAGTCTCTTTCTGTCACAAGAACTGCATTTTCAGTCCCTGTAACCCTAACACAAAGCTGGGCACCTAACACATAGTCAACTCAAAACTCGTTGACATCGAATCAATGAGGACTCACGGTGACCCAATCAGACAGAGTAGAAATGCCTCTGTGGGTTTGGGTTTCCAAGGCTGTAACTCTTTACGGGAGTAGAAAGCCAGATCTTTCTCTTGTAGAAAGAATGGCTGGTGGTTTTGAACTGCTGACTTTGTGGTTAGTGGCCAATGCCTAAGCCACTACATTACTAGGGTCCATAACACAATATTTAAAAATTAAATTGAAAAGTCAGACAAACTCACTGCCATCAAATCAATACTGACTCATGGCAAGCCTATAGGACTTAGGCCTATAGTTCTAGGCCTATAGCCTAGAACTGCCCCAGTGGGTTTCTATAGACTTCAACTACACAGGAGTAGAAAGCCTCATCTTTGTCCTGAGTAGCAGTTGGTGGTTTCAAACTACCAACTTTGGGGTGGGCAGCCCAATATATAACCACCAGGGCTCCTCCGAGTCGGTAGTAGAAAGACAGTAAATGTTTGTCAAAGACAGAGGTTTTACTATAGGTTCTTAAACAAGTGCTTTTCTTTAAAAAAGAAAGAGAGAGAGAGAAGCTAGCTAGCATTGGTACTACTAAATCATTTGCTGTTTTACATCTAAGGAGTTACTTTAAGATGTTCTACCTGCATGGACTTTATGGCTCTCCTGAAGATAAAAGCATGTTCTAGATGCTCTTTATTCTTCAAGACTACTAATTTGAAGAGAGCTGTCACTCCCAGCACTGAGCAGTGTGGGGTATTGACTTGCTATTGAATTCTTTAAAGGAAATTAACAATATTTCCTGTCCTTAGAGAGCAACATCTAGGAGAGATGCCATCGCCCATGCCCGGAGTAGGTGTCACCATACAGAGAAGGTTTGCCTGGCACCCTGGCGTTCAAAAGCACATCTCCCAAGTCCACAATTCCCAGCAACGGAGGCCAAGTTGTGGCTCCAACTTCTCCACTAGACGCTGTGAAGAGCCCCTGGAAATGTCTTTCCCAGGAAGGAGGCTGGGGTGCGGGGGTGGGACTCAAGTCCGCGGGGACAGCACGTCCTTCGTGGTTCTCACGGAAAGCACATGTGACGGTGGCTCGTGCAACCTCCACTGGGAGCCAGGCACCTGGGAGCCACAGGGTGCCACCCTCCACCCTCGCCACCTTGTAAAAAGGCCTTTTTATGGCTATCATTTCCCTATCAGTGGTCAGTTGCTCAGACATCGGGGCACCGGTGTTCACACTGAGGAGGGCTGAGGGGCCATGGCGGACGGGCCCTGCCCTGGCGGAGGTAAACTTTGGAAGGGTGGTTCTGTGCCCCAGCTAGTTCGTCTCATACCGTCATTCTGCTCCGAGACCTACCTCCAAACACCAGGGCTCCCCAACCTTTTGTAAGGAGTGGCTCCTTTTCATGTCCCTGAAGACTTGAGAGCTGACAGTGAAGTCTGAGGGGGGGTAGAAGTGCTGACAGTCAGGTCCCTGCGTGCAGCAAGGGAGGGGGCCCTGCTGCCAGGAAGAGAGGGGAACAGAGTGAGGCGTGGGCGCGAGGTCAACGTGGCCCCCCGCCTGACTGACGCCATACCCCACACTTGTCTAACGAGGCCTGTGGTGCCCGACAGGAACCCCGAACTCATCTACCACCCTGCACGCTCTCGTGCCCCAGTGGACATGGATGCCCCTTCCCAGAACTTTTCTGGCTAGAGTTCTCCCCGGCTCTCTCAACTTACCTTACCGAAGCTTCTAGAAGCAGGAACCTTAGGAATCTGCTAGCATCTCTCCCTTACCAAACTGCAACTACAGGAGGCTCTAACCAGCAGTGGAGCTGCATAGGGACCTGCCCAGCACCCATTTCCCCCCGCCCCACTAAGCAACTCGGTCCACATCTGGGTGCTCAAGGACTCTGAGTTGGATTGGACTTCAAGCTAAGCGGAACCATCTCTCAGAGTGGCTGCAGTTCACCCCCAGCCGACTTGGTTTGGGGCTCCCTGTGGGCCTATGTGTGGTGTCTCCCTGGCCCTCACAACCACCCTGTGAGGTAGGTGTTGTGTGCCCATTTTACAGAGGAGGAAAAGAACTCAGAGAAGCTAAGGAGCATGCCCAAGGTCACACAGCCAGTAAATGGCAGGGGACAATACAGGCCAGATCTCAGTGGGCCGTACAGGTGGTTACTACTATGAGTCTCATCCTGTCTGCTCAGGTGTTGAGTGAGGCGCTATAAACTGGGTTGAAAATTCAGGGTAGAGAACAGACCGGGGGTCAGATGGACTATTTCACAACAAATAGCTAGTAGTCTTCATGGTCTCTTTAAAAAAATAAATAAACAAACCCCCTGGCTTTTATGTATGTATGCACACATCTACACATTGATATACACACAAAAAGAGAACTCTCTCTTCTTCTCCACAAACTTGAAAAATGTATCTTTTTGTGCGGGAAAAATCCTGGAAACAATGTTGTTTCATCCTGTTTAACCCTGAGTAATAGAATTTAGGATTGAGAGCATGAGATTAGGAATGATACCCCTTAATCTTCGGTTCTGATGGTCCCCCCTAAATAGCAACCTAGGCATCTTGAGGCATAGAGGATTCTGGAAACAGGCAGTCAGGGCAGCCGGGCAGAACTCTAAGGTTAGGTTCTCAGCCCATTCAAAGAACCACTTACACATTCCCATGGACCCTGGTCCTCCCTGGGTCTCCAGGCTCGCCGGCTACAGCAAAGTAGCCTCTGCTCAAGTAGGGACCGCCCTGCAGACCAAACGGCACCACTCCAGGGGCTTGCTGACCCTGTGGCTAGACTTGGAAAGCCACCATGGTCGGAAGTCCAGAGGTCTGTCCCCAGAAAGAGCAGCCCGAGAAGAAGGCTCCCCCTACCCCCACCCCCATCTCTCCCTGCCTCTGTTCATCTGTAAACAGGAGCGTGAGTCAACAGGCACATAGGAGTCCACTGGAGAGCTCAGCCCAACTTTACAGCGAAGGCAAACCGTCTGTCTCCTTGTCACAGCCCTGACTCATCTCGCTGTCTCCCACCAGAGGTGACCTGGTTTACCTTCCCGTTGCTTCTGGGAGGAACCCAGCAACACGGGGAGTTCATCTTTGTCTGCTAACACAGTGCTGAAAGTGAAGACGGAATTTCCCGAGGGGGCGTTTGAGGGGACAGAGGCCTTAAAGGTTACCAGAGAGCACATGTCATCTCTACTATCTCCCCTAGGTCCTCTGGACTCACGCGTTGACACGAGACATGGCTTATGAGATGTGAAAGGCGCATGTGCACGGACAGACAAACACACATAGCCCTCTACACATAGCGCTCTTCTCCCACAGCTGCGAGGCTCAGAGCTAAATTTGCAGGCTGTTTCTGCCAACCATTTAGGAACTACTACTAGCTTTGAATGCGTAGGCTTCTTAATCTTATCGCCGTCTATCTTAGGGCTTACCCCAATTTTCTCTCCATTCTCATTTCCTTTCACGGTGTTAACATCTGCCTTCTGGCTTTCTCCAGAAGCAATGCCTATCTGTGACAAAAATTACTTGCTGCCAAGATTTCAAGAGGTGCGTTTCTAATTCGAACAGTGACCTTATATGACGGTAAACTGTCCACAGAGGACAGGTAGAAAGAGGCTCACGGGCGCCTTGGTGGCTCAGCGCCTGAAGACAGGGTGTGTTGACGATGTCTGGATTGCATGATGGGAATCACCAGTCAAGATGGCCCAGTCACTAAGTCCAGCCAAATGTGTGCATTCCCCTGTCGCGTCTTAATGAGCTTCCAGCCCTTGACTAGGGAGTGGAACAGTTCTCAAGGCCTAGAGCCATTAGGACAGTGTGGCGGCCATGTGGCTACAGCAGGCCTAACAAAGCAAGGTGGTTGGAAATGCCAGCAGGTGCTAAAGACCTAGTTGAGGTTCATCAACAGGCCTCACATCCATGTCAAGACCCAGTGGCAGCACTGTTGGGCGTTTCCATGCTAACTTATGACGTGGAAGAAGCCATGGGTACGTGGATCGGTGCTGGTGAATGACTTCTCCGTGGCGGCTAGTTTGGGGAGATCATTGAGAAGGCCCGTTTCTTCCTGCCGGAGACTTTGGGTCCCCAACCCCTCCCAGCATCGGCATTAACCTGTTGGCAGATACATACAACACGACCCCAGAAGCAACTAAAAGGTGGACAGTGCATCTGATGCAAAATGCAAGATTGGACGCCCAGGCCGATTCTAAGTACGGTCTGGTGAGGAGTCGTCCTGCAGTCTCACCCGTCGGCAAGAGATGGAAGACACCACAGAGCCTTCCGCGGGGAAGCCCCGTGGTGGCTGTGAACAAGGAGAAGGCACTTCGTCCAAACAGTAAGCCAGAGGCTCGAACCGGGTCACACGAGCCTCTGGCTTCTACTGAAGAACCTTTTTCTTTTTTAAGATGAAAAAGCTAAAGGATAGATGCAGCGATAAAACCATGAATCGGACATACATTTTTAGCAGCAACTAATGAAGTAACCATTTTGGAGAAGTGGAATAATGCTGTGTCGTATTTTTCAAAAAGTAATGAAGTTAGTATAATAGTGTGGGCCCACAAATCGCATTGCAAAAGACAAACTGCCCAGCCAGGAAAAAATACAAAAATAAATATAAGTAAGGAAGTGTAGATGGAAAACCGTTTTCGTTTTAATTTTTTTAATTCTCAAAATACTACCATTGGTATCATAAAGGTTTTTATATGAAATCATGTTTTTCAGACTTAAAATTTTGGTCATATCTTTGGGGTACGGGTTTTGTCCCCCACAGCAGGGATGACAGGGCTTTGGGGGGAGGGAAGTCTCTGATGGAAATCAAACTTCCCTCATCCAATTTGCTCTTTATAACCAACTTTTAACCCTAAGTTCTGGGTGTAAAAGAAGCTGCCCAAGACTCCACAGCTAATCTAGACCTGACACTAAACCCCTAACTTTAAAAACTAGAAAACCAGGGGCTGAGGCTCAACGAATTTTCTATTGGAGGAAGAAATCTTTCTTAGCAAGGGAGACTGGCAAAGGCCATTCCTGATGGAAGCAAAAGAGCCAAATGACAAATGAATTTTACCTTTTTGTACTGGTTGAACTGGAAGGGCAAAATCCTTCTCTGTCTGTCTGTCTGTCTCACCCATGCGTCCATGTACAAAGAACACTGAATAACAACGACAGAAGCCACGTGCCCATCTGTAACCCTGAAGGAAGGATCTAGGGCTTCAGAGGGCAAGCAGATATGGTTTAAAGCCCATCAACAATCCCCACGGGAGGTGACTTTGATGCCTTCGTTTGAAACAGGAAGCCCAGATGCCCAACAATGTCTGGAGGACCAGACAGGCTACCTTCCATATTGTTTTTAAGGTGAACCAGGTCTGCCTCACACCAGGATGTCTTCACTGATACGACACAGCACCATGTTTGGGCGACTCTACTTGGAAACCGCGAGGGTGTGCGTGCGTGCAAGGGTAGGCACAGAAAGCATGTGTGTGCACACCTGGATGTGTGGTCACAGGTAGGTGGAGCTGTCAAAGTTAGAGGGCAAAGCCCTACAGACAATGTCCTGAATGAATGGCACATCACCCAGCCACCCAGCTCAGAGTTGGCAAGGGGTGAAATGAAATTGCCAAGCCTTCCAACAAAGCAAAGCCAAACCAACTACAGCTCGTGGTGACCCCAAGTGTGTCTGAGTAGGAGAAATGCCCTCCGCGGGGTTGGCAATCACAGTGATCTTCCAGTAGAGCAGGCCGCCTTTCTTCTGAGGCCTCTCTAAGTAAAGCTCAACTGCCAACCTTTGTCAGCTAGTAGCTGAGTGACTATGTACGCTGCCCCGTGCCCAATCAAAACCAAACTCAACTGCGTCGAGTACACTCCAACCCTACAGGACTGGAAAAAAAACCCTAGGGGTTGCTTAGACAGTAACTCTTTACAGAAGTAGAAAGCCTCGTTTTTCTCCTGCAGAGCGGCTGGTGGGTTCAAACTGCTAGCTTTGCAACTACCAGACCAACGCGTAATCCACTGCCCCACCAGGGCTTCCTTCCTCTCAGAAGCTACAGAGATAAAGTTTATCCTGCTCTTAAAGGAACTCAACTCAGAGAGAAAGGAACAAGGACAGAGCCAAACCAAACCAAGCTCACTGCCATGGCGTTGATGCTGACTCAGAGCAACGCTATAGGACAGGCTAGAACTGCCCCTGGGGGGGTCCCGAGACTAACTCTTCACAGGAGTAGACAGCTCCCCCAAGAGATCACAGTGGCAAAATACAATGAACCCAAAAGGTGCTAATGTCTAGACCCTATTTGTGTTTTCTTTTACAAACCACTGTTCACCCTCTCCTGACAGCAACAGCCCCGCTCACTGGTTGTGTGGCCCTAGGTTTCTGGAGCACATGAGGGGGCAAGCTGCCTTCTACGGCCCCTGTCTAGTGAAAGTAGCCCACCAAAGTGCCCAAGGTATAGATGCAATGTGCCTGAGTTTCTAGGCAGGGACCACGCTTCAGTAAGGGGCGGAGTCACCTTC